CGCCACTGCTCGGCGAGCTCTGTTAATAAGCGTACTCGCTATGCCACCATCTGAATCGTTGATGATGATATTGAACAGAACTAGAGCCAAAACAGACCCCTGCTCTGTTTTATAGTCCTCAAGCTAATTTCAGAATTATCTTACAATCTGATTTGAGGCTTCAGTACAATGGGATATTTTACTCCATCATTATCATAGTTTACCTAGGGCTGCAGCTCATTTTGTTCCCTTTGTAAGGGTTCACTTTATATGCATATGACTATTTCTGTTGTCAAGATAATAGACTCCTTTGAAGGGTACCTTTCCAAAGATTTAACTTTTTATATATTGACAATAAAGATAACGTAGGCTCAACATGCACTATTCTTTGATAGAGGGTTACTTTATCCTTTCTGCTAACTTGTGAATTGAAGTGACACTTATTTATCTTGTAATTTAGGGGGAGGGGAACCCACTCTGTTTCTGGTCCAACTAGAGTTGATAAATCTCATGGTTTATTTGATCTGATGTGTTCCTGAGGCACCCATTCAGAAAAGCCTTTAAACTCATATTTAACTATAAAGCATGTACCTAAGTGCTTTTCTAAGCAAAGGTGGACTGCTGAGCAGAGGTTTAAATCTTCCTTTCTCAATTATTCTATCTTGTTTTCAACTGAAAAATATCATCTATTTCCCCCCCCCCTTTGTTCCCTGCCCCCTTTGTTCCCTGCATACCTCTTAGTTTCTTTCCTTAATTATTGGTTTTATGGGGGAAAAAATAAGGATCTCAATCCCAATATTTCTTCATGCTTCTCTTTTCAGTAAGTTCAATATATAGTCTACTTAATTTTTACTAAAGTAAAGCATTTCAAAAGACAGTGAATATAAGATTAAGTTGTTTAATGTTAAAATTAGGGATGTTAGATACCGAATAGTTTAATAAACGTGTAACCACACCAAATCTTAGTGGTTATGAGGGATGTAAGTGACTAGTTGACTATCCAATAATCATAAGCTTATTGGATGGTCAAGTAGTGACTCGAATAGTTGCTCCCTCCCCCCCCCAGCCTCTATCAGAGGCAGCAAGGGGGTGGGGAGCAGGTGCTGGTGCTGGGGGGAGCTGGCTTAAAAAATGGTTCCCCCCAGCACCATCTCTGTAGGGGACAGGGGAGGTAAAGGCATAGCAGGGGACTGGGCATGAGCCGGTAATCAGCTGATTCCTGGCTTGCGCTCGGTCCCAGTTGCCGCGCTTCAGCCTTTTAACTGTATTAAGAGCCTCAAACCTCTTAATACATTTAAAAGGCAGAGCCGCAGAGAGGTTAGCTCCTGGGGCCAGGAACTATCCCTGCTGTAGCTCTACAGTTTCCACCCTTATCGACTTGTTGATGGAAATCCATCGACTAGTCGATTAGTTGATTAAATGCAATTTAACATCCCCAGTGGTTACATGATTATTCAGTAGTCCTGGGGGATGGGGCCGGCAGCCAGTGTGCTCCGGCCCCACTCCTGGGAAGCCCCCTTCCACCCTCCACTGTTGCTGCCTGTATCAGAAGCAGCAGTGCAGGGTGGCAGCAGCCCCTGTCTGTGGGGGGGCCTGAGCTCTCTGCGGACAGAGGCTGTGCCGGCATCCCGCCTGCTCCTGCCAACTACTGCATTGCAGGGGGAGGGGAGGGAAGGGGCTCCATAAAGCTGGTGCTTCTCTCCGAGCACCTGCTCCTGCCTTTCTCTCCTCCCCTCTCCCCCACTGCCTCTGTGGGAGGCAGTGAGGGGCGCCAGGCAGCTCCGCAGGAGGTGATATGCGCAGGGAGCCAGCCTGCTTCCTCTGTGTAGCAGGTCCGGTCCCGCCCCGCCCCAGAGGGAGAGTGTGTGTGTGTGTGTGTGTGTGTGTGTGTGTGTGTGTGTGTGTGTGTGTACGTACACATTAGGATTAACTGATAAACTCAGGGTTATCAATTAATCATTTAAACGACTATCCACTAACATTCTTAGTTAACATCTATTACTAATCTACTGTTATGGCACGTTAATAAAAATTTAATTATTTTTATGCAACTGACACACATAAAATACAAGTAATGACTTCTTGCTGAGTAAATTCTCTACCATTCCTATCCCTTTAACTTGTGCCACTCTACCTGTCTCATGCCTTGATTAACATAGCTATAAGTACTTGCAGACAGAGCTAGGATTACATTTTACTTGGTTTGAGTGCGTGCAGTTTGAGTAGATTTGCAGCTGACTTGAATGGAGTTTCACCTGCTTAAACAAATGTCTCTGAATTTGCTCCTGTAATCCAGTAGAAATAATACTATCCAACTGACTCATGAATTCAGAAAACCAGTGGGAAAAATATTAAAGTTTTTGAAACAGTCCTGTCTTCCACTTAGAAGAATTAGTAGTCTTAACAAGCAATACATCTTGGAAAGGCCATTAGTAGTATAATTTTCCTGATGTGGAGGCTTACTTAGCCTGAAAAGAAACTGGCCCATAAATGGAAATGCCAGCTCCTTCAGATGCATTTTTTGTTTGTTGGACTGGAATTTTATGTATCTTCCACCCACAAGTCTCTGCCTCAAAACCCTTGCAGAGTACATGCCAAACAGCTAGTTATTTCCTTGTTGTACAAACTAATAATTAAACGCAGTGACGAATTTAGCTTTGTATGTGAAAAGCTTAGTGGGATTATTAGGCTGGAGAAAACTTGAGCAAAATATTACAAAATTGAAACTAACAAAGTGGTCACTATCTCCCTTGGAGATTTTATTTAAAGATTTATATTTTTCGACAATGATTGTATTTTCCCATGTATAATGATATGTGTGCTTCTGGTGCCAAGAGATGTTTAAATACTTCATTTCTAGATTCTAGCTACAGAAGCAGTAAATGACTTCAGCAAGTTATACTTACTAGCTTTGGAAGCAGTCTTTTATTTTTATTATTTTTAGGGTTTTTTAAAGCAAATGTTTGGTCCACTGATACTTAGTATTCTATGAGAGAGTTAGTGTAGCAATGGTACACCCGGCTTTTTCCTCAACTCATTTTAGTTTTGTGGCTGAAAGCATCATGTATGACTTCTGTTTGATAGAAGATTTGGAAAAAATAATATATATGGACGTGTATAAACAGGTTTCCCTAGAGAGTCTTATTTCATTAAAGTATTTATAATGCAAACATATGACTTACTGTCTGCTAGGACAGGGTGGACCTCTCTGGTCTGGCATCCTGAGGACATAATCGGTCCTTGATGAGGGCTTTTGCTGGACCAGTGGAGGTCATATTTGGCCCCCTGCTACTGGCCCTCCTCCCAGCCTTGAACTAGTCGCTGGCCTCCTGGCCAGCTCTCCCTGGGCCCTGCTGCCCTGCTGATCCCCACATCCCCTTCCCTGCTATGCTGGGCAACCCAGCTCTCTGCATGCTGGGCTCCTGGTCACACCGGGCAGACGTGCTGTGGTGCACCTGGCTCTTGGCTCTGCTGGGCAGCCCCATGGAGGTTGTGCTTGGCAATCCAGATAAAGCATGCCTGCAGGCTCTTAGTACATTTAAAATGCAGAGCTGTAGTGGGGTTAGCTCCCAGGGGTGGTGCAAGTGGGACTGGGATGCTGCAGTTCTGCTCCTGCCCTGCCCCCCTGCACTGCGGAGATGGTGCTGGGAGGATCCGGCTTTTAAACTGGCTCCTCCCAGCACCTGCTCCTGCTCCCTTGCCCTCCCCCCCTCCTGCTGCCTCTAACACAGAGGAAGCAAGGAGGGGAAGTGCATTAGTTGACTCAGCTACCCAATAAGCATGTGCTTATTGGGTAGTCAGCTAGCTCTACTCCTTTGCATCCCTAATTTAGTCATATTCCTATTTTTTTAAAATCTTTCGTTGTGTTAGAATATGTTGAATTATACACTTTTTATTTACTAGATGATGAGTAATTTTAACTTGGGATTTACTCTGTATGGATGAAAAATTAATTGAAAGTGCACAAAGTATTTTTTTATTAAACTATCGTAAGTGTGTTGGATACATAAGAAAAAAAGTGTAGCAAAGTATATTTAGCATTTAAAATGTCAGTAACTGATTTATTAAACACAGGAAGTAACTGTGGCTAGTGAAGTGAACTGATTGTTTCTGGGCATCATATCCTTCAGAATTTTAGAACTAGGAGAGTTCTTCCTCCACAAAGGATGCTGGAACATGGGAAACCAGGGAGCCATCGACCCAAGGCTAAGGCCTTCCACTTTTTACTGGTCGTAAAAATGAGTGATGATGTGTGGGGATGGAAAGCAGCAGGTGGGGCCTGGAGGCTCTGGGAGGAGAGGTGGCCCGAGGGGCGGGGGGGGGGGGGGAAGAGAAGATTTTACTTAGATATGGGGCTGTGGTTCAGGGGGGAGAGAGGGGGCGCGGGGGGGGGGGGGGGGGGAGGGGAAGAGAAGATTCTACATAGATATGGGGCTGTGGTTCAGGTGCCTGTGGCTCCCTCCACATTTAGAGAGTTTCTGGAACAGCTGAGGAAAAACTAGCTATTTTACATTTCCAATTGGTTTCTTAACACTGGTCAAACTAGTCATTGAACTTAACTAGTTGAATAAATTGAAATGAAGAAGCTATTCTCTCGTCTTCAAAAAATGCTATGATGTAAAATGTAGTTTAGTACTTCAACAGACTGGTTCTAGGTGCTTGCTGCTACTTGGCAGCAAATTTTGCACTGCTTACTATTTTTTAATTTAAATGAATTTTTAATAAATCCATAATAAGTTTAGGTCCTTGCACAGGTTTTAAATTTCAAATAAGTTTTACATTCAATAAGTTTATTTAAAGAATTAAACTATACATTTAATTTAAATAAAGGATCTGATTTATATAAAATAATCAACATTTAGGTCCACAATGTCAGTTTTTCAGTCTTGGAGAGAATGATTCCTCCATGGTGTAAAAGTGTACTATGCTAAAATGATGTAATTTGAGTGTACTACATGCTGTGGTTTGAGTATCTAAGAATCCTAACCTAGCAATCTTCCCTTCCCCCCACTTTACTGAAGATTTGGCATCCAAAATCTCCCACAGATTCAACTTCCAGGAGCTTGAGGATTACTCCTCAAATGCAAATATGGCAGAGAAGAATGTGTCCTCTTCTTTCATAGAAGATACATGCAGACAGAGCTGGACCACGGTTTCCTGGGTACCTGGGTCGAAGCAAGAAGTGAGGTTCTCTTCACCCCTACTGTGTGTGATTCCACCCCTATTCTTCCCCTTCTGCCTGCAGCTCCATCCACTATCCTGCCCCGGTTCCACCTAGGATTCTCCCATTATTTTATCCCTTCTCTGCAGCCAGTTACCTGTTTGCTTCTTTCTGTCTCCACCCTGAGACTGGAGAAATTCTGTCCCCCACTGTGGCCTTGAGCTACATTGGGAAGTGAGAGCTCTCCCAGCCCTGTGTCTGCAGCATATAGTGAGAACTCCTCAAGTCCCAGTGCCACAGCAGGGATCCAGGGTGCTGGGGCTTCTTCTGCCACCAGCCATGCTTCTGAAGGATACAATGGTCGGGACACGAGCTTCTCTCATGCTGACTGCCTGGAGTTGGAGAGCAGAGTAGGTAGGGCATCCTGCTACAACTTCTGCAGGGAGAGGGATGAGATGCTGGGGGTTTCCCCTGCTGCCCTCTGTCAGGAATGAGGAATGAGGGTGGGAGATACTGGGGTTTTTCATTGCTGCCCAGGGCTGCTGCTAGGGAGCAGAGTTGGTATTTGAGTAATTTCCTGGTATTGCCTGCCTCCCTATGGCCTCAGGTCTGGGTTTCTGCTGTCTGGTAGGTGGTGGTGATGCCTTCTGCTGCTTGGTGATGGATTTTTCTCAGGGTTCTTGGGAACAGACTCCGTCAGCCCAGTGGCTAATCTGCCACTTCATGTTGAACATCAGTCCCATCAGGCAATAATTCAACTTGAGCAGCATGTTCTCTGATTGGATCAAGATGAAGAATTTTGTCCTGGGTCCTGGGGTCACTTCAGGTTGCAAATCTGCTAAAGACGAGGGAACTGTATTACATATTGCACTTACTGTATGGTGGGTTTCTTTATGCTTAAAACTCTGAAAAAGCCAGTTTTTAACCGACTCCCTGCGCATACTAGTTCCCACACAGCCACCTTCCCCTCTTCCCCACGCTGCTGCCTCTGTATCAGCACAGGGAAAGGGGGGCAAGTGGGAGCTGGTGCTTGAGGAAAGTCTGTCTGATACAGAGGAAGCAGTGTGGGGGTCTAGAAGGCGGTTCCGCAGAAGCTGGTACATTCAGGGAGCCAACTTCTTGCTGTGTGTAAATGTGTAACCGCTAAAAATGTCAATGGTTACACATTTACCAGAATAAATGCATTTTAACATCCCTAGTTAAAATTAAGTTCAAGATCTAAGGAACTTTCTTTTGTTTCAGGTAGGGATGTTAAAAATGCTCGTAATTGGGTAATCGTATTGTGACGTCGCGTCGGGGATCCCCCACCTCCTGCACCCCCGTAGTGGCACGAACGGACTCCACCAGCCAGTAGAATAGAGGGAGTTTATTGCTTTTCCAGGATACAGCACAGCATAAATGTAATTCGGTTACAGGGCTAGGCCTGTGATGCCTCAGCCCCCCTTGAGATGGGGGAGACTGGGCCCTTAAATCCCAGCCCCCTTGCTCAGGCTGTTTCCTCCACGATTCCAGACAGCGACTAAAACCCCTCTCTTCCAGCCCTGCCCCCCAGCTAGGTGTTGGTCTCCGCTCTCCTTCCTTTGTCTCCCTCCCTGGGAGGCTGAGCCTGGGTGTCTGGGTTAATACACATTTGGGAGAGTCAGTGAGACTCTCCCATCACAGCGCAGGGGGACCCCGGGTCACAGAGCAGACAGCACCCCCACTACGCCACACGTATAACCTCTGAAAATCTCTCTGGTTACATGCACCCACAGTGAGGTGCAGCAGCTGGCTTCCGCCAGCCGCCCCACTCCTGGGGATCTGGTTGCCACTGCCTCTGATATAGAGCATGAGGTGCAGCTGGCTCCTGCAGTCCCGCCCTGATACAGAGCCAGCAGCACAGGTTGGGAGCCTGCATGTAATTGTGAACAGTGACTGATAAGCCCAGGTTTATTGGTTAACCATTTAAATGGTCATACTTTTACATCCTTTGTTGCTGGGGGAAAATACCATTTGATCAAGTGTTTAAAATGTAATGATTTGATTCCATAACTCGTAGGATGAAATTGAAGCTGAATAGAGAATAAAATTATCGTATACTGAGGTTCCCCAATCTAATGCCCCTCTTTGTTTGGTGAGAGAGATTTTGGATCCTTCCTAAGTACCATAGCAAATAGTTTTGCTTTTTTCACAGAAAGGACCATGTAATTTAGGAGCAGCCACTGTTTGGTAAAACAAGAATTGCATGGAGCAGGACTGCTTGGAAAACGAAATTACCATTTAAGGGAAACAAGTTATCTGCATCTCCAGCGGAGGACCAAACACAGTAATGATGAATGAGTAAATTATAGGTCTCCTCTGTGCTGGGGATTTGCCTCAGTTACAATTATGGCCATTGGTGGCCAGACTTTTAATATATACGCCTAATGTACACTAGCTAAACTGTAATTCTTACCATTGTGGCTAATTGGCTTCAAGCAGAGATGAGTTGTGTCCCGTCAAATTGCTGCTTATAGCAGTCTTGTCTCTCTGTGCTGGGGGTTTGCACTGATGGTATTTGAAATCCCCAGCTAATCAAGGCCTTGCTTGGCAGGTAGTCTCTGGCTGAGATAAGACAATTGAGAAAACTTATGGTGTTTTTTGTATTCTCTTCTCCCCTGCCCCCATCCGCACTGGACCAGAAGCATTTATTTTTTTCAGATAAAATGTGGGAGGCACTCTCCTGTTTACTGATTTGGAAACTATTGGCTTAAAGCTCTGATATTTGGGGACTAAGGACATCTTTCTTCAAAGACTAAATTGGCTCATAAATTGCTAGCAAGTGTGCTGGTGACTTACTGTTCTGGAAAAAGATTGCTCTAAGCACACAGTTAATGTTAAAAATTAATTTAAAAAAGTCCCTAGTTGTCTATTTGCCCTGTTAAAATATTCAAGGTAGTCATGCAGCTCTATGAAAAGAATATTTTCACTAGTGCATGAAGAAATACTTTAGTTAGACTTCAGAGTCCATCAAGTAAAATTACTTGTAAGGGTTGCAAGTAGGGAAGGATTTGGAAGCTGTCCTCTGGGGAATTTTGAAACAACTAGGTCTCCAGCTACAGTGAAGCTTTACTGGAGGAAATGTGTAAAATTCCTTATCTTTGGGAAGGAACAGAAGTCATAAAACTGAAAAACAAAGTACAAGTCTTTTTGTATAGTTGAATCTGCAATGTACAAAGGGAATATATGTAAAACCAACTTGTTTGTATAAAATATATATGTCCAAATACATAAAATAGTGTCAAGTTTATTCTCTCAGATATGATCGATGCAAGTTATTTAGCATGTTTCAGTTTGTATGGAAATTATGCCTGTTTATCATAGTGAGAGATGTGTGAAAAGTAGTGCTTCTTTGTGGAAAATTAGAGAAGACTTGACATGCTCTGTGGGAGAACTTACTGCTTCTAAGAACCCCTGTCTGGTTGGTGACATATTCAAATATGAGGCCTAATTCTTTGAGGAGCTGTTTACTCTCAATTATTGAGAATTGAGGATGCATGCCATCTCACAGGATTTTTTGAACTGTATTAGATTTGTCCTTTGTCTGTGAAATATCCTTGGTTGTTATGCTGATGGTTGCAATGTTCGTTACATAGCCCAGAACAGATTTGAAACTGATCTGCTCCAAAAGTGCTGCTCTCCATTTGCTGTGCAAAGAGCAATACAGGACTTCTTGCTGTGTCAGTCAGGATTAAACAATAATAAAATCAGGAAGAAAAATCCGCAGGGGTACTTTACTATTAAGTATATGTGGCTTATCAAAAAATAATGAAATCCAGTAGAGTGAAAGCTGTATATCATTATTATTTTTTGCACCTTACTATCCAAGCCTTCTAAGAGAACCAAAAGCTACTGCAGTTATTTCCATAGCTAAGAGAATGTTTAAAAACAGATATTTTGGCTTATGTAACTCTGTGCAGGTATTACTGAGTGGGTGTATTTTTATAATATGGCACTAATATCGCAAATCCACTTTTCCTTGGATTACACTACGCAACTTGATGTAATGCAACTTCTCAAATTTATTTCTCTTTGATAGCTAGCAGCACATTTTGAGAGTTCCCATATTCCACAGTTCTGTTATTAGTTTTCATTATCTAAAATATTATTGTTAATGAAATGTGTGTACTTTAAATTTGCAGTCCTTTTCAGCTAATTTGCTTCAGTGTCAGCCACACGTCCAGAAAGAGACTATGCCCACTGCAGCCTTTATGAGAATGTGTCTTTTATGTGGTAGCTGGAAGAAAAGTGACAGGCTTCTTGAAGGGCTTCTTTGCTAGAATGAAGAAAAGGGGGAAAGATTACGGGAATGGACAGAAAGAGCAGGATGCAGTTGGCCAGATCAGCAACACAGCATTGCCCTTCTTGCTGACTGGAAAAGTAGGAGGCATGTTTTTTACCTCATGCAGTTGTGTAGCTGCCTTCTCTACCAAGATAGGGCTGGTATTTATAGCATAGGGAAATAAGTTGTCTGGGAAACAGTGATTCCAAAAAAAGGCATGGGGAGAAATGTTCTGCTAAACTTTTCCATTTGTATGTAGGGATGTGAATAGTTATTTGGTTAACTGGAAGGGACTGGAGCAGCCCCCTGCGGGTAAGGGGCTGCTTCCACCCGGCGGGGCATCCATCTGCGGTGGGGCATCCATCTGCAGTGGGCCTGGCCTGGCATGTCGCAGGCAGCAGTGCTTCAGCCCGGCTGTGCTGGAGCAGTCACCTCCAACTGCTCCTGTTTAATTGGTTAACTGCTTAAAAAATGTTTAAATCAATTAACTAAATGGGATTTTACATCCCTATCTGGGTGTGGATTTTTTTCCATCCATGTGCAGAATAAATTTTTATGTGCACTAAGGCATGTGTGAATGTGTACCACCAGTACAAATAAAACACATAACTCTGGGCACTCTGCTAATCAGCTGGGCAACATTTGAATCTCTCCTGAGTGGCTGCACAAGCCCACAGCTTACAGGGAACACTGTTGGGGAGTCATGGTGGATAGTCAGCTCTAAGGGGTAAAAGTGGTACATGAATATAATGGCAATAGGAAAGTCATTTTTAGGCATAAAGGATTAGATTTGTATGTCAGTAAACACCAACTTCATCACACAAAGTAACAAAGCAGTATTCTCCCTGATGATCAAAATCTACATGTAGGTAAACTAAGAAAAATGCAGACTGAGAACTTAAAGCGTTAGATTAAAGCTTTAGACCAGGGGTGGGGACCCTTTTTTGGGTCAGGGGCCACTAACCCATAGAAAATCAATGGTGTGGCCCCCAGACTGAAAAGGAGAAAGACAGTCTAGTAGATTTTGTACACTTCAGCCCCCAGAGAGGTAGCACCAGCATGGGCTCCCCAGTGCTGGGGCGGGAGAGGGGATGCTGAGCTTCAATGAGATCGGTTGGTTTATCTTATTAAGAAGGTGGTTCAGGGGTGGTTCAGCAATTATTGGGCCTGCAAATGTACCTTAATTGTCAGTTTAACTGAAAAACTGTGTGAAAGCTGTTAACTTTACAGGTTCAATAACCTATAATGACAGATATTCATTGGGAAAATGCAAAAAAGAGATGGACTGAATTGGTACAAATAAAAATATAATTGTACAAATGCATTTCAAGGACTGTGTTAAGATCAGGTCTGGTAAACAAGAACAGTGTGAGATTAAATATGGTTTATTGGAAATTAGGTCTAACTGATGGACAAGATAATGAGGAGATGGACTATTCTGTCCATCTCTCACTTCTTTTGGGGTCCTTTAAAAAACAGAGACCTTGGGGGAGGGCTGGATACTATGATGCTGGCTGACTGAAAGGAAGGGGTGCAAATAGTGGCTGACTGAAAGATAAGAGAAGGGAATCAGCAAGCTTGACCGTAATGGCTTCCACTGGCTCTTGGCCATTCTTGTCTTAATCCTGAAAGTCGTTCTGTTAAGGACTAGTCGACTGTCCGATAAGCAAATGCTTATCGGATAGTCGAGGCAACTAGTTGATTTCTCTCCCGTCCTTGCTGCCTCTATATGAGGCAGCAAAGTGTGGGGGGGGGGGAGTGGGGGAAGGGCTACTTAAGAGCAGCAGCGCAGCATGGAGCCTATTCTCAGGCTCTGTGTGGCACTGCCATTTCAAAGGGACAGTGCCACTCAGCTGATCCCAGGTTCTGTGCGGCACTACCCCTTTGAAATGCTGCTGCAACATTTTAAAGCAGCAGCACCATGTGGAGACCGAGTTCAGCTGGGTACTCCCTAGCTGACAGCAGGCTCCCTGCAGCATTTCCGTGGAACCTGGAGTCAGCTGGGGAGTCCCCAGCTGATCCCAGGCTCTGCGCGGCACTGCCACTTTGAAATGCCGAGCGGAGACAGGGATCAGCTGGGAACTCCCCAGCTGACCCCAGGTTCTGGGGAAATGCCGCTCGGAGCCTGGGATTAGTCCCCAGCTGACCCCAGGCTCTGTGTGACATTTCAAAGCAGCAGCGCAGCATGGACCCCAGGCTCCATGAGGGCAGTTTCGCTTTGAATGCACAAGAGCCCCCGCTGGGGACTCTTGTAAGTTTCAAAGCTGGCCTCTAGGGCTCTTGTGCATTTCAAAGGGTAAGCGCCCTTGTGGAGCCCAGAGTCAGCAGGACTTCCCGCTGTCCTTGGGCTGCATGCGGAATTCTGCATTCTTCCTTTGAAATGTACAAGAGCCACTGGGGGGTTGGGAGGGGCGGCAGAAGAGGCTCTTATACATTTCAAAGGAAAAATGCGGAAGTGCCTAACAACTAGTCGAGTAGTCAATGGAATTTCCATCAACTACTCGACTAGTAAATTACTCATTAGTTAACATCCTTAGTTCTGACCAGATTGGGCCAGAAAGAGAGACCAGATTACAATACCAGCCATTGCTAAATCCTGATCACTACCTGATATGCGACTTCATCTCTACTTCCCAGCCCTCATGTGTCCTTTTCCTTCCTTCCCTTATTTTTTTTATTTTTCCTATGTCTCTCCTTTTTCCTTTTGTCTAATGAAAGTCTGACTTAGCTGGCCTAGACTGCATATTTTTACAACAGTGCTGTAAGCTTGTCATCAGAGAGGCAACTGAATGCAAAAGAGTTTAGTGCTAATACTAATTTGACAGATTTTGGAGTGGCTAATAAAGCTATGGGCTGTGCCTGTGTTTTTCCAGCAGTGAGGTTGCAATTGAGAGACTACAAAAGAGACAGAAACTGCATTATTTTTTATCTTTGCTGTTCCTTTATTTCCCCTCCTCTCTATATATTGTTTTGCTTTGCCTTCAAGAAAAAGGGATGGGACATTAACTACAGCAACAACTGCTCTAGTCCATCTCGGGTTGCTGCTTCTTTGTTCCCCAAAAAGTCAGTTACTGCTGTCTTTATTTAGTGATGTTAAAAAGCGGGTAATTGCGTAACTGGTAATTTGTATGGATCAAATATTACTTGGACTTCTCTTCTAAAAAATATGCCACTTGTCAGAATTTGAACACGGAATCCTAAAATTTGTAATGAACGAATACTAGCAGTGACTAAAAATATGAATCTAAGTAGTTACATTTCCATCCTTGGAATCCTCCCTGACACTCTGAAGAGTGTATTCTGCTCCCTGCATCCATTCTTTTGGGATTTTCTTCTATGTCACTCAGATTTTACACAGTACTGTAACTCCACTGAAATAAATGAAATGCCATTGTGAATCGGGCTGTGTGTATTTTGATGACCTCTTCTAGGTGAAGTGACAAGAACTTGCTTAGAGCCTGACAACATTATTGAATGAGCAGCAATATGGCCTGCTGATTGAACATGGCGGAGGAGAGCGAGGTACTGGAGTATTGTAGTATTCCCAGTCACTGTCAGCCCTGTAATCAGCAAACAGAAGACTTTTACATGTGTTTTATTAAATGATCACGTTGAGAGACATGGATTCAGCAAAGCATTTAACCAGATACCTAATATAAAACACACGTAGTCTCGTTCAAATCCATGGGACTACTTGTGTGCTTAAAGTTAGCCATGTGCTTAAAATTAGACCCATGCTTAAATATTGTATTTAGTTTTGGGACGACTTTTTTATATTCTTCTGTTTATTTGAAGATTATCCTCTTGGTAACTTATAGCAAAACAACTACGTTTCTGATTTCTTCACAAATTAGATATTATTTTATACATTTGTTAAAAGTTCAAAAACTCCATTTTAAATGAGGCTATATGGGCATAAAAGTCAGGATGATTTCGATAACTGTGTTTCACTAAGGGCATGTCTACACTGCACGCTTATTTCGGAATAAGCTATTCCGGAAGAAATACTCCAAAATAGCTTAGTTCAAAAGAGCATGTCAACACTACAAATGCCCATCGAAATAGCGCTGATCTATTTCGAAATAGAGCATCCACACTCACTGGATGCCGAATCGCATTTAAGGCCACCTGGAAGCACTTCAGGTATGGCATCAGGACAGCAGTTACTTCTGGGGCTACAGAGCAACTGGGCTTCCCTCTGAGCTGTGCACATAATTTGTCCCACAGTGATGGTGTCCCACGGGGGGGACTTGCATCCCTGCCCACTGGAGGAGACGGGGGTAGGCTGTTGGGGGCAGAGGGAGGATGTGTGTGAGTGGCCGACCCTTCTGAGCCTCAGCACGCTGTCCCCAGGAAGGGTGCTGCCCGAAGCGTGTGGGTATGCCTGTGTGCGGCACTCCTGAGTGTGTTTGTGTCTCTCCTAGTCCCCAGCCACCTTCTAGTGGTGGGTTGTGGTGGGAGGGTGTCCCACTCCGATGTCAGGAATATGGCAGGCCCCCCCAGACCCTGTGAGCAATACTTCTGGGGCTACAGGGCACCCA